CTTCAGAGCCTATCAAATAAGGTCTGGAGTGTTCATTTGTACTCAGTGGGAGGAATACAGGAAAGTGTGTCTTCTCGGCTCCCCTGACGCAGGCCCTGTGAGCTCTTCAGGGCTGGGCTCCCCCGGCCCCCTGCCCCCCAAGCCTTGTGATCGCCACATGAACGCCCCCGACCCGCCACATCAGACCACGTGTCGTCCCGGGAAGCTGCTGTGCTCTCAGCTGGCCTTCCCGCTCCCTCCCTTGTCTGCCTGTGGTATTTCTGTTCCCTTCATTTGGGTCTTCTCTGTAAATCTACCCGGACAGTTCAAACACTTCTTTCCTCAGGCAGAATTTTGCCTCTTCTGTCTTATGTAGTCGTTTCAGTTACCTCTGCACCTATACTTCTGTCTTATGTTGTCATTATTTGTCTTTTTCTGACCAGACCGTGAGCTGCCTTAGAGGGCTGGGATGCCACCCTGTCCATTCTTGTCCTCAGTAACTAGTGCAGTAGCTGCTTAAGAATTCTTTGTTGGATGGATGGATGGATATGGTTCTCATTTCCCACCCGAGTTGTTAAGTACGTTTGTTCCCCATCCCCTCACCGCACCACCATACACACCAGCCCCCACTGACACTGTGCTCAGGCCTGCGGCTTCTGCCGTGGACTGAGAACCCCGCAGTCTTGCCTGGCCCATCGCACTCTGTTGACCTCACTGATCTGTCTGTCCTGTGTTCACAGCCTTTGAGTTCCTCTGAACACAGAATCGGTGGTGAGCTTTAGTTCTAGCATGGTATCTTACTGAGAACGGGAGCGATCATTTTTGTATTTACTATGTCAGCACCTAATAAAGCGACATTCAGACCCAGGCACCTAATAAATATTCCTTAATGACAGTGATGAGGAAATGAGTCTTGGTTGTTCGTTGCTGTCGTTCTTGCTGAAAAGCATTTCCAGAAGTGCCCTGTGGATCTCAGGAGGTGTTACGTTGTCTGCATCTGGGGCTGGTGGTGGGAGAGCGCTGTGTTCCCTGCTGGGTAGGTTCTGAAGGCTCCTCTCGCTCACGCTTCCGTGCACTCGGTCCGTGTTCCTGAGAACTGCGCCCAGCACAGGACCCAGCTCTCCCTGGGAAGCAGAAATTTCCTTTCCTTTGAGAAAGGAAATTGAAACAGTTTCTTCTCTTTTTAGGTCACAAATGACCTCAGTTAAGGCAGCAGATCTGTTCAGGGAGAAAGAAGATGGGCGCTGAAGAGAAGGAACAGAGTATATGATTGGTGGTTAGAGCCAGCCGGGGCGGGGTACCCAGCTAGGACCAAAACTGGGATCAGGAGCACCGCACCTCTGAGCCACTTGCGCCCGTTTGACTTCCTTGCTGCTTTTTCCTGTCAGTGAGTGTTTGCACTCCTTCCTGTGTTCACGCAAAGCCATGCAAGTGTTCCAGGAAACCAGTTTCGAGAAGGTGGGAATAAATAATCAGGGTTCAGTGTCCTCTGACACCAAAGATGTATATTCTTGTGGACAGCCGTGCACAGTTCTTGGGTTTGCATTGGTTTGGTTCTACTTCTCTTTCAGGCACTGCCTTCTCGGAGTTTCTGGGAAAATAAAAGTTCCAAGTAAGCAGTGCCTGGGCTCCTCGGGCAAAGCCATTAAGGCAGTGTGGCGCAGGAAGACATGAGTCTAAGGTTAACACTGCCCTCGGACTCAGACACGCGTTTACGGATTAACTTTGAGTCTTTGGGGATTTTCCACAACTAGTGGAGGCCTGAACTTTATAATATACTTTCTGTGTCGCTATGCTTCCTTGTGTCTCGTTCCCTTTGTGGACAAGCATGTGGTGATCTTGACACTGCCACCTGCTTCCATATCAAGAAAGCCCAGGGCTTAGCGTTATCACCCCTACCCCTCGCTAGGCTACCCTCCATAGGCACGGCTTCTAGCAAAGCTGGCCAGACACATTCAGGGGTGCCCTGTCCACCACGCACCCCAGTCTCCCGAGAGCACTGGCTGCCCAGCTCCAGGCGTCCCCAAACGGGCCTCAGAAGCGCCTTCTAGGACACGAGGGGGCCATCGCCCCCTCCTCCTCTCCCTTCTTGGAAGGGGCTCTCGGATTCGCTGAATTTGCTGTCACAGAGCAGAATTAGACATGGGGAGCGCAGAGTGGGCTCTTCAAGGGCCAACAGAATCCGCCTCGCCCATCACCTGGGCTGGAGTCCACTACCCGGTGAATGGCCTCACGGGTTACTGCAGTGTTAGTTTCCTCACGTGTAGAATTGGAAGAGTGGTACCTGCCCCATGGTTATTAAGAAGATCCAGTGAGATTATGTTATAAAATGAAGCCGTCTTTGGGGGTCAGTGATCACTGTGTTGAATTTTTTTTTTTTTTTGGTCTTCATTTCTGGTTCTTTTGCTCAAGCTCTGAGCAAATAATGAGCTGCTCTGGTCTTCTCGTTCCCCTCCTGGCTCATCTCCTGGTATCAGTGCTGGAGGCTGCGCCTTCGGCCTCACGTGAGCTCACCTTTCTGACCGTGGCTCTGCGGCCTGCAGCCACTGCATGCCTCCTCTGAGCCTCCCTCCCACCGGCTTGTGCTCAGCGCAGTGGTCGAGCCGGCCTCGCCACAGCGCCTGCCCTCTGCCCTGCTTCTCGGCCTCCCTGCCTCCGCATCCAGTGGGGTCATTCTTCTCCACCTTCTGAAGAAATTAAGAAACAAGCCCAGAGGAGAGCAAGAACGCCGACCTGAGCATGAGAGACGTTGAGGTTGAGACCCTTCCTCTACCACTCGTTGCCTTTCCTTTTGTCTCCGAGCCTGCCCGCGGCTGTAAAACTGAACACTGCACACCCCACGGAGTCACTAGGAACATCCGACTGGACCGCACTTCAAAGTGTCCAGAGTGGTGCCCGCTGCAGCAGCAGGCAGTCAGGTGCGCCTGACACATGTCCCCGCGCCCGGTGTCACACGCTGGTGTACCTGAGGGTGGCACAGCCCTTTTCCATCGAGAAAGTCGTTGCAGTGTGAGCCGGCGCTCCACACACCGGCTGTGCGCACGCCCCCGTGGACAGCAGCGTGGGCTCTGGCGCAGCCGGCCCCAGGGCTGGTGCGGAAACTCGCAGGCCCCTGAGCGACCCTCGCCCGGGCTCAGCCAGGTCACCGTGCAGGATGCCAGCAGCACCCCGCACGCGGCGGTGAGGGTGCCCCCGGCCCAGGGCGCTGTCAGTCTCCACACGGGAATTCAGAAGCGGGCGGAGTCTACTCTGCAGAGGAAGACGAGCCGCAGAGAGCAGCCTTCCCCCGTCAGCCATCAGCGACAGGAACACAGACGTCGTTTTCTGTCGGGGACCTCTGTGAGGTTCCGAGCCCAGATGAGAGCCTAATCCTGGCTGCTCAAGGGAAAGTTCAAAGCTCGCAGAGTCCGGTTTTCTGTCACCAGGGTACAGCTGTGTATCCATTCCCCGTGGAACAGCCAGTAGATCATTGAATGAGTCACGGGCTGGGTGCCCTCGGCGGCGCTGCAGTCACTGTCAGAGGGGAAAGGAGGACACAGCCCCCTGCCATGCCCGAGGGAGCTGGCTGGCGGTAGTTGAAAGATACGTGGTGCGTCTCTCTGGAGTGTCAGACGGCGATGAGCTGTGGAGGAAAAGGCAGAAGGGCAGCCGGGGGCAGGGCGGCGGACACTGAGTCTCTCTGCTTCTGAGTCCTTACCATCCTCCGCGAGAGCACGGCTGTGTGTGTGTGTCCTGCTGTCCATCACCCTGCGCCCAGCAGGGCTTTCGGAGGCTAATGCTGGACTTGCGCCAGCTGTACTCAGCAGAAGCAGATGCAGGCTGGCCTGCTGGCCCACAGAGATACCCAGACCTTCAGACCAGAGCTGAGTGGGCTCTGGGAGCTTGTCGAGGGAGCCTGTATTCTGGTTTTCCTTAGAGATCATTTGTTAAATCTAGAGCTCCCCCTGCTGTTTAGGAGGTGGGGTGCTCTCAGCTGACCTTTCAAAAATGATGGTTTCTTTTTTATCCTAAGATTTAAAGACTTAAAAAAAAAATTATTGCGGGGACGTTTGGAGCTTCCTTCTGGTTCGGCTGCTGTTGCGGCCCAGCCGGGGGTGGGGTAGGGTGAGGGGCAGGGGCCCCGGCAGGATGGGGTCAAGTCTGTGCTCTGGCTCTTTTTAGCGTCGCCTCGTGCTGCTCTCCCACCACAGCCGGCAGCCCCTCACACACCGTCTCACAGCTGCTCTGAAACCGTGGGGCGGCAGAACTGAAACTGACCCCCCTGTCTGGCGAATCTCTTGAAGTGAGCCAGGCCAGGCCGTTCCCTCTTCAAGCTCAGGGTATCCCCACTCATCATTTGCCGAACTGGCCTCACAGTGCTGCATTTGTAGAGGGTCCGGCTCTGGTCTCCCGCCCCAGGCATGCTCTGCCGAGTGGCGAGCTGTGACCCGTGGGGCGGTTGCCCCAGAATAGAGCCGGGTCTCTGATGGGACTCCAGGGGGGCCTTCTGGTCAGCCACTGGCTGTGTGTACCACAGTCAGCCATACAAGCCCGGTGAAGGTTTTAGTCCTTCAAGATGAAATGCAAGTTAATTTTAGCAGCACTGTTAACACGAGCTGAACTGAAGAAAGAAACAGCACCTCAGTAGACGTGTGTCCCTTTGGTTGAGCTGCCCCAGTCACACCGTCTGGTGCGTGGTGATTCCTGATGAGGTTGAAGGAGGACAGTGGGGCACCTGACTTGCAGGTGTCTTCCAGGGTTGGCGACTCCGTAAGGGTTATGTTAGGGTCACGTTCTGTGGGTCCACCTTAGCAGTGACCATTCCCCATGAGGATAAAATCACCAGGATTGTAGTGTTGGGGTAGCTGAACCATAAAGATACGTGCTTACTCAGGTGCCACTTTCTCCTTCCCCTCAGCCAATATTAATAGTGCTGCTGAAGTGAAATTGAATTCAAGATGTCTTCTCCACTGTAAACTGTAGCTTACATAGACGTGATGCTTCACTCTGATGTAATTATTTTACGGTTCTTCTCCCAACAGCTTTGAAAAGTCCAGCTGCATTTCATGAGCAGAGGAGGAGCTTGGAGCGGGCCAGGGTAAGGCGGCTTTCTTCCCAGGGGCCTCCCACCACGAGCCCTGTCAGAGCCCATTGTGCTGCTGCCATCTTCCCTCCGGTCTGGCATGGTCCCCAGGGTCAGCCCCGGCCTCACAGTTCTAAACAAACAGCTCTGCCTTTCCGCCTCATCCCACCACAGCGTCTGCTGGTGTGAAGGTTTGGACCGTGATAAGAATGAGGGTCCTCCTCTAGTACATTCAAGGGTGTGTCATGGGTGCCAGCCTCCTCTGGGTTTGGAGACCGCTGGTATTTTCCCATCTTGAATTCCACTTGGCCTTTGGGAGCTGTTAGGACATGAACACCGGCCACGGGAAGGCTTGCTGAGTGGCGGTCCCTCCGTGTCTGTGGCCGCACTGCTCACTTGTCTCCTGGTGGGCCTGAAGACCTCCCTGTTCCCTGAGCAGCCAGGGTCCACTGGAGGTCGTGGAAGTGGAAGCGGGGCCCCTGGGTGCTGGGGCACGCTGCCGCACCTGGCTTGCTGCTCCGTCCCCCGCGGTTTCAGTTCCCCCAGGGGCCTCGGGGGTAGTCTGCTGCCTGGCGTGGGTGGAGATAGGGAAGTGGCCAGAGTGTGCTTCCCCCTCTCAGCCCGGCACTTTTTCTTTTATGTAAAAGACAAGGGAGGAGAACCTCCCCAGATGGAGGCTAGCAGGCTGCCCGGGACCCACAGCTCTGTCAGAGACTCTGAATGGTTTACCTCCAGGGCTCAGCTTACGGTCTTCTGTTTTTATCTTGTTTTTAACCAATTTCTAAGGAAAATGATGATGAATTCTTAGAGTGAGCAGAAGAGTGAGGTCCTGGGTGCTGGGAAGGAAAGGAGTGGTTGGCTGCACTGTTGCAGCGGCTGGAGGATGAGGGAGTATGAGCAAGGGCCTTGCCCACGCCTTCCATCCAGCCTGAAGACTTGGCGCCACTTCCTGGCCTGCTTCTCCAAGGCAAGGAGTAGATGTGACCTGATTAGAACAGGTGCTAGTTTACAAGTGCAGTTCTATCCTTTTCGTGTTTAGGTTCACTGCAGCTCTTATGAATTAGGTGTCTTTATCTTCACCTTGGGCTTCCTTGGTGGCTCAGAGGTTAAAGCGTCTGCCTCCAATGCGGGGGACCCAGGTTCAATCCCTGGGTTGGGAAGATCCCCTGGAGAAGGAAATGGTAACCCACTGCAGTATTCTTGCCTGGAGAATCCTATGGACAGAGGAGCCTGGTAGGCTACAGTCCACGGGGTCGCAAGGAGTCGGACACGACTGAGCGACTTCACTTTCACTTTATCTTCACCTTAATAGATGCAGCTAAGAGAGGTTAGTTAACTTGTCCAGCTAATCAGTGGTGAGCCAGGGTCAAACCTCGGTCTGTGGACTCCAGGTGTTTCTTCCTCAGTACCTGGGCCTCCTCCCCCTGCTGTCCATGAAGACCGGCTCTGGCCAGAACCTGCTCTGCCTTCTCCAGCAGCCAGGGCAGCACACCTGCCCACCACAGACCGGCGACAGGCCCTGAGTCCACGGCCGCCATGAGCCGTCTCCTGGGAGCTCAGCACCACCCCGGGGCTGGCACAGAGCTGTCCAGTCAGAGCTCCAAGGCCAGGGCCACGGCCAGGCCAAGGAGCAAGTCTCGACCTTGCTGCAGGCGTGACGTCTGCTCTGACACTTCATTCTCCATCCTGTGCTACTCTGCCCGCCTCGGCTGTGTCTCATCCTGCCCTGTCCTCTCCTGTGCTGGGTAGGAGAGCCGATGGTCTTGACTGATGGTGTGAAAAATTCTGGTGCAAAGCTTAAGAACACAGGCTCTAGAGTGAGACCGATCCAGGGTCACATACACATTATACCAGGAGCGCTGGGCAGTGGGCTGGCTCTGGGACTGTCGGGGAAATGGTTTAATTTGCCTGGAGCCTCATAAATGCAGAAATGAGGACATTAGACTTTAAGGAACTAAAACTATGACACCACATATCAAAATTAGTTCAGAGTGAACAGAAAATGCTTGTGGTGTCAGGCAGTGCCAAAGATTTTGAAATAAGATACAAAGTTATATTCAGTATGATTAGAGGTCTGCAAAATTAAACCTATCTTCTGCTTGGAAGGATGACTAGAAACAAATATTCCTAAGTACTAACGGCGGATAATTACATGATGTTTTTTTAAAATTGTTGTCCTACTTTCTAATTTTCTAAATTTACTTCAGTGAACTTACATTACTTTTATGATAATAAATGGGATAGATTAAAACATATATTAGTAGTTCAGCCTCAGAGAGACAGATGGTCCTCACAGGTGGACGAATCCCTCAACAGGTGCATTGAATGTGGATGCGCCCTCCCCAGGCCTCGGGACCCAGCAGTGTCCATGCTGAGCTCCTGGGGCGGCCGAGGTCACCCACTCAAGCCATGGCTGCCTTTTGGTCTTGTCCAGGCCTTAAGCTTGTGACCTGGATCTGAGAGCTGCGTGATGTGTTTTTTCTGCAGACAGAGGACTACCTGAAACGGAAGATCCGTTCCCGGCCGGAGAGATCGGAGCTGGTCAGAATGCACATTTTGGAAGGTGTGTTAGACCGGAAATGCTTCTTCATGCAGACCCTCTTGCTCACTGTTTTCACCCTGCACCACCCACGTTTCTTCACGCTTTCTCGTTGCCCCCATTCCTCACAAAGACGGGGTATGCAGTCCTCTCCCCCAGATCTGTCTCTAGCATGCATTTACTTCCATTCACTCATTCACTTACTCAGTATTTACTCCAGCACCTGTGAAGTACAAGCGTGGTCATCCCAGACAAACTCTGCCTGTCCCCACCCACACACTTCTTTCTTCATTCTAGGGAAGGAAAGGTTTGGGCTTGAGTCTGTCCATTTTTTGTTTGGTTTAGAACCCACTTTGGAGTTGGAAAAAGACTTTCCTAGTCTGAACCCCACACGTGGCAGGAGGCCACTGAGGGGGAGACACCGAGGCCCAGAGCAGGGAGGCAGATTGTCCCCATAGCAGGCCCCGTCGTTTGGGTCTGCTGTGCCTAGCGACCGCGGTTGGGTGTGACCACACACTGTCCTCAGTGGGGCCCCCTCCCTTGGTCCTCGTGAAACTTCACATCGGGCCCCCCGCTCTGCCTGGTTCTGCTGGTCTCTGCGCCTTCCCTGGCAGGAAGGGGAGGTGCCCTGGGGTTCCAGGGCAGAGCCTGCTCACCCCTGAATCCTCCTTCTCTCCACCCTTTCCCACACGCAGAGACCTCGGCCGAGCCATCCCTCCAGGCCAAGCAACTGAAGCTGAAGAGAGCCAGGCTGGCAGATGACCTCAACGAGAAGATTGCGCAGAGGCCTGGCCCCATGGAGCTGGTGGAGAAGAATATCCTGCCCGTGGAGTCCAGCCTGAAGGAGGCCATCATTGGTGAGGGGCTAGGCCGCCCTGTGTGGACCCACAAGCCGGTGCAGGGGGAGGGCTGCCAGGCTGCTTGCTCCCTGACTTCCTGCTTAGCCTGGTGGAGGAGCTGAGGCGTGGAGAACCAGAGCCTGACAAATCGGTCGTGCGAGCCTGGGTCAGTGCCCGTGGTCCCACAGATCAGCGCCGTGCCAGAACAGCTCAGCCAATAACCAAGGCCTCCGTCCACTCCCCATCTCTGAACTCAGGGGTCGCCCCTCTTTCGCAGAAAAGGTGGGTAGGTGTCAGGGTTGGTGTGCGTGAGCACATGGAGATGCCGCAAGCTAGAAACCATACCTGCTGTTCCTTTTCATTCGTGAAGTCCCCTCTTGGAGCCTGACCCTTTGCTCAGATAGTTCACTTACAAAGGCCGACGGACCCGAGCGGTGTGCTAGGTGCTCAGGCCACGGCCCTGCGAGGCGGACCACGCCCCTGGTCCTCATGGAGCTCAAGCCCTAGTGCAGACCCAAGTAGGGAAGTAGGCCCCAGTGGACCGAGGGCCACCGCCCGGCCCTGACAGTGGGGTTGACATCAGAGGAGGTGAGGCCAAGGTCGGGGTGCAGGCCGAGCAGGAATTGAAGCATCTGTGAGGGAGGAGGGACACCTGCACGTAGACCTGGAAGGGGGGTGTCAGGACAGGAGGGGCGGAGGGCTCTGCAGGGCCTCGTGGCCACGGCCAGGCACGCACCCCTGATCCCCTCACTGCCGTGAGGTTGGGACAGACGTGCTTCTGTAGCTGCTGTGGGCCTGAGACCTGCCCTGGGAGGCAGCTGGAGTGCTCTCACCGTAAGTGTGAGCTGGGTCTCTGGGCAGAGGGGGCACAGGTTGGCTCAAGGCAGGCTGGGTGGGGCCCGGGGCCTGGGTCAGTGGAGGCAGGTCTGGGCCTCATCTGCACCAGTGCAGAGGTGGGTTGAGCTGGGGCTCTAGATACCCTCTTCCCTAGAACTCCCCACTTCGCCCAGGCGTTCGTCTTGCCTTGTGTCAGCATTCAGTTCAGTCGCTCAGTCCAGTTCTTTGCAACCCCATGGACTGTAGCATGCCAGGCCTCCCTGTCCATCATCAACTCCTGAAGTTTACCCAAACTCATGTTCGTTGAGTCAGTGATGCCATCCAACCATCTCATGTCAGTGTGCTCCCACCCAAATCTCCACCACATTCTACAACAACCCCTAGTTATGGGCCAGTGTTTGGGCCAAGGTCAGTCTGGACTCTCCCTCCAGCCCAGATCTGATAAATGTTTGCCAAGAGTCGGCTGGGCGCCAGGCCTGCGTGAGCCTGGCCATCACAGACACAGAACACACCGCTGCCGCCCTCTGCTGGCTCGGCCTGCCGGGAGAAGGCTGCGGTGTGCACCAGTGACTCCCGCGACTTCCCGGGCACAGGTGGAGCCACCTGGTGAGAAAGGCCCAGGCCCTGTGATGCGGGAGCCGAGTCACCTGCCTTCCCGGAGCTCGCAGGCTCCGCCCGGCTCAGTCCTGCGTGCCTGGGGAGGCTCGGGAAAGGGCTGTGCCATTGGCAATGATGTTCATGACAGAGCAGCTGGCCCTGCTGTCGTGGACGACGCAGGACAGCGGGCAGGTGGCCGGGACAGCGGGGGCTCGTCTGAGCTGGATGGGGAGGGCAGCGGGGCGGGGAGGCTGCACGGCTGATGCGGCATGATTAGGGTCAGCCTGGAGGTTGAGTCCGTGCCAAGTAGAGCAGGCACTGAAGGCCATCCCAGGCAGAGGGGCAGTGTGGGCAGTGGCCTGAGGGCCTGGGAAGTGGTTGCGTTTGGCAGCGAGATTGTCACTGATGGCTGAAGAGAAAGGGGTATTTTCCAGCAGTGGTCGTGAGGTGGAGGGGTGGGCAGGGGGCAGATGTCATCCGTTGTTCAGGAGGAGTTGGGGGGTGGTCAGGAAGGATGTTTAGGCTGAGAAGTGGGCAGGTTTAGGGCTGAGAGGATGCGTCATGCGGAGGCTGCAGAGGTGAGAGGCTGGGAGGAGGAGGCAGACGGGGGAAAGCCTGCTGAGGGTGGGGGCCCGGGAGGAGCCTCACCACAGACTCCCCCACATACTCAGCCATTTAACGCGCACACACCCACCTCCAGTTGACCTGGAAGAGTTGTGTCAAAGCCCCAGAAATCTTCCCCAAGCCTGGCCCCCTCGGCATCCAGGCCTCCGTCTAGCAGAGCAGTGGCTGCACCCCACAGCCTGGCAGGACCCTGCAGTGACCCCTGGACTGAGCTGGGGTGGACCCGAGGCTCCTGCATCCACTCCCTGGTCCTGCTGGTCCCCTTTCTGGGAGTGAGAGGCCGGGGGAGGAATCTGGGCCTCGAGCGACTGGCAGGAGGCACGTGGTGGTCAGGAGGCTGTGCCCACTCCGAGCTCCACTTGAGAGCGGGTGAGGGGGGCAGGAGGGGCAGCCTGGCGGGTTGCGGGCGGGGGGCATAAGCTCAGGGGTGTCCTGCCCAGGTTCCCGTGGCCTCAGATCACGGCCCTGGAGGGGGAGCACTCCAGATTGTTCCTCTTCCTCGTCTGTGGTGTGGCCCCCGCTCACCTCTGCGCCTCGTTCCTCTCTGTGGACAGCGGCTAGTGCTGCGCTTCTCTCCTGACCGTGCTGGCCGTGGGGTCGTGACAGGAATCCTGAAACACCCTGCTTGCCCCATCCCCTTCTTCCCTTCCCTCTGCGTCTGAGATTCCCACGCTCGGCCCCCCAACCCGGGAGCACAGGCCGCTGGGCCCTCACACAGGGGAGGGTGGGCGGTGGCCTCGCTGCCCCCAGGCCCTGGGGCTTTGAGAGCCACTGGCCCTGCTTCATCTGGGTGAGCAGGCGGCTCTCCTCCCCTCCTCAGCCCTGCCCACCCCTCCACCTGCACGACCACTGGAGGCTAAAGAGTGGTCTGCTCCTAGTCTTCGGGGAGTCAGGCAGCCCAGAGGAGGAGCTGCACCCCCATAGCTGTTGCCCAGACAGCCCTCATCGCAGGGTCCCCGGGGTGGAAATACAGTCCCTGCAACAGCCAGGAAATAGGAGGTGGAGGCGGCGGCAGGCTTGGGAGGGAGGGCAGCCATTCACCGTGAAGACAGCACGGGTGCGTCTTGTCTTAGAGGGCAGAGGATCGGCGAAGACACGAGGGCTGAGAAGAGCAGCCTCCAGGGGCCGAGGGAGGGGGGCCCAGCAGGTCAGCAGTCAGGCCTTTCCTGCTGGGAGGACTGACTCTCCCGGCCTTTGCTTTGGGGCCGTGAAGACGAGCTTTCCTCCAGCTCGTTTGGATGCGAGAGGCAGGGTGGCTGCCGGTTGCCTCCTTCCACTGCCCCCGGGCTGAGGGGACAGCTTCTGGCTGGGGAGCAGGGCCCTCGGCCGAAGGGGTCTCACCCGCGCCTTGGCTTTCAGTGGGCCAGGTGAACTACCCGAAGGTAGCAGACAGCTCTTCCTTCGACGAGGACAGCAGCGACGCCTTGTCCCCCGAGCAGCCTGCCAGCCATGAGTCCCAGGGCTCAGCACCGTCGCCCCTGGAAGCCCGAGTCAGCGAGCCGCCGCCCGGCGCCACCTCTGTGCCCTCCGCTCAGGTGCGCTTCCTCCTCTGCCCCCCAGGGGCCCAGACCTGCTGGAGCAGCCCCAGCAAGGCCCCTCCCTGGGGCCAGTGGGGCGGGGAAGCCGGGAGGTGCTGTCCCGGTAGCTCGGGTGGGGCTGTCGGCAGTGGGCCCCTCGGAGTTACATTCAGAGGCCTCCCCACTGCCCTGTGCCCCCTCGTGCAGAACAGCTGCCTTTCCTGAGTGTGTGCAGGTCCGTGATGCTTTCTCCACCCTCTGCTCCCCGTTTCCTAGTCCCCCCCTCCCCCACCACCACCCTGGAGGCTGCTCTTCTCAGCCTTCCTTCGTCGGCCCTCAACAGCGACTGTCAGAGGGGGTGACGACCATCAGAGTGGGAGATGACCACCAGAGGGGGTGACGGCCCCCCAGCTCCCGGTGGGCTGGGCAGGGCTGCAGCACCAGCTGGAGCCTGGATGTGGCGCAGCTTCTGGGGTGTCCTCACGTCCCCTCCTCTCTCCCAGGTTGTGTCTCAGCTCCCCGTGGGCCCGGAGTCCGGAGAAACACTCTTCCTGGCAGAGCAGCCTCCTCTGCCTCCCAGCCTCACCAACGGAACCGCGGTCCCCGCTGCCAAGCCCCTCCCCACCCTCATCAAGGTGCAGATGCCCAGCCCACTGCTGCCCCCCGCCCCCGTGCCTCGCCAACTCCCATGTGGGCACAGTGTTGGCAGTGGGGGTGCTCACCCTCCCCTCCCCGTCAGGGACCAGCAGAGGTCACCACAGGGCTACAGACGGCCTCCCCGCTCGCTCTGCGGACGCTGGCCGCGTCACGGCCGCGGTGTACTGAGCACAGGGCGGGCTGTCGCTCCCGCCCACCCCACCCACGGCCTCGTGAGACCGTAAGGGGGTCGAGCCATGAGGCAGTGGGCCCACGGTCACCGACCAGCCGTGCTGGGAGTTCGTCTTCCTTCTCTCTCCAAGTCCTGACCTGAAACGCCCGAAGGGCCCCCAGTTAGCATCAGCCCATGAGACACCCACGGGCGCCTTTGCGTAGGGACTTGGTGCTGGGCCCTGAGGTTGAGTTCAGCAGCACCCTGAGCCAGCATCTGGGCCTCCCCACGCAGCCGAGCCTCCTGCCTTGGCCTCTGGGACCTTGACCCTGCCTGCCCCATCCAGCCTGGGCTTCGCGCCTGCTGGGCAGGGGCCATTCCTTCCAGCCCCACTTGCTTCTGCGCTTGACTGACTGCTCCAGTCCCTCCGCGTGGGCCCTGGCCCAGCGTCTCAGGCCGCCCACGTTCCTCCTGCTGCCCACAGCCTTAGCTGAGCCCTCTCTCTGCCTCCAGGTGCTCCCAGTCCCTTTGGGGTGGCGCCCTGTCCCGGGCCTGCTCCTGCCTGCTCGCGGAGCTTGCGTGCCCTGTGGCTTCTGGCTGCTCCCTGGGTAGCCAGCCGCACCTTCCTTGTCTCTGCGGTCTATTCCTGACTGGCCACAGACATCTGAGGTTTTCCCCCAAATTTCCTCCCCTAAACCTGCCCCTCGTCACAGGTCTGGTGCCTGCCTCTGCCCACCTCCCCTCTGTGAGAACCGTGTGTGTGTCTTTCTCTAACTTCCTCTTTTCTGGAAGCGCCTCGGCCTCTGGCTCCACAGCCCCGCTATGAACCCTCCTCCGGAGGAGCCCCAGCTGCCTCTGACCCCTTGGGTCGCGCTCCTCCCCGTGTGGCTTCCCCGGGCTCCCTGTCTTCCTCCCTTTTAGTGGGGTGCTCCTGGGCCATTCTCAGCCTCTTTCCTGAGGCCTCTCCGCGGGACCCTGTCCATCCTCTCCGGTGCGCTCTGGCCCCAGCGGCCCCTCGGTTTCTCCCCCTCTCTCCACATCCCAGCCACCCGACCCTCTTCCCCGCCGCCATGGAGGGGCCGCCATCAGAGCTCAGAGCCCTGAACTGTGTGACCGCTCGCTGCGCAGCTCTGCTGTCCCCACTTCCCCTAGCTGGTCACCTCCTGCCTCATCCTCAGTCCCCGCGGCCCCCTAACCGGACCCCTGCTGACCCCGCACGGAGTCTCCACCCTTCCCTCTGCCGGTCTCTGCACAGATTGTGCGAGACCCCCTTGGTCCTGCCCGGCCCGTTCCCTGCTCAGTGCCCCACTCAGCTCCACCCGCGCTCACCCCAGAGGACCCTCGAGGCCCAGCGGGAGGCCGCCTTGTGTGCCGGCCGTGGGTGCACGAACAGGAGCTTTGGAGTCCTGGGCTTGGATCTCGGCTCCTTCATGGGCTAGATCACAGCCACTGTGTGCCCTTGAGCAGCTGACTGCCCTGAGCCACTGCTTCACCTTCTAGTAGACACGCTGGCTCCTGGCGAGGCAGGGTTCTCGGGGGTCTGTACTCCATGTGGAGTGGACACACGAGCTCCCAGAGCCGCTCTTTCACCCCTTGTCCCGTTGACATGTGCTCGGGGTCACAAGGAAGTTGCCTGTGCATCTGGGCTGGAAGCTCTGGGAAGAGCAGGGCGGGTCACAGCCCCCCGTCAGCCCTCACCCCCTCCTGGGCACACTCCTGGGTGCCAAGGAGGCCTCTGCTTTGGGAGGGGTGCTATCTGGCAAGGCAGGGTGGATGCACAGCCCTCTCAGGAGCCGCTCAGGCCCCTAACGGCGCCCTCTGTTTCACGCCCCCAGCAAAGCCAACCCAAGTCTGCCGGTGAGAAGTCGCAGCGCAGCAAGAAGGCCAAGGAGCTGAAGCCAAAGGTGAAGAAGCTCAAGTACCACCAGTACATCCCCCCGGACCAAAAGCAGGACAAGGGGGCGCCCCCTATGGACTCCTCCTATGCCAAGATCCTGCAGCAGCAGCAGCTCTTCCTGCAGCTGCAGATCCTCAACCAGCAGCAGCAGCAGCAGCAGCAGCACTACAACTACCAGACCATCCTGCCCGCACCGCCCAAGTAGGTGCTGCCGGCAGGCCCCGCCCACCCACCGGCCCCGCCCAAGTAGGTGCCCACAGGCCCTGTTACAGGTGATGTGCGGGTGACCCTGGACTGGCAGGGACCCTTGGGTCCCAGTCCCATCAGAGCGGTCCAGGGGCAGGGCCCTTCCCTGTGCCCCTCTCCAGCCAGCCCAGTAGAGTCCAAGGGTGATGCCTGGCGCGGGCTCATTCCTGCGCTTTTCTCTTCTCAGGCCGGCAGGGGAGGCTCTGGGCAGCGCTGGGGGCCCCCCGACGCGCAGCCTTTCCACTACCAACAGCAGCTCCGGCTCGGGTGCCCCTGGGCCCAGTGGGCTGGTCCGACAAAACAGCACCTCGCTGACTGGCAAGCCGGGGGCCCTGCCCGCCAACCTGGACGACATGAAGGTAGGTGGTTGCACCCCGATGGCCTCACGCTGCTGTCAGCCTGACCTCTCTGGCCGTCAGGTTTCAGGCAGGAAAGGTGGCCGGCTGGGGACTACGGCCACGGAAGGCAGAGCGGGGCTCCGGACTCTGGTTTCCTGCAGTGGAGGAACCTGGAGCCTTCCTAGAAGCTCGCCTGGCTCTGCTCATCCTGGTCGCCGACTTTAAAGACACCAGCTGGTGTCCGTCCTGGGCCGTGGGCTCGTCGAGCGCTTGCGTGCCTCGGATTTCCCGGCCTCCAGTGCAGTGTGAGGAACGGGGGGGTGTCGCCCTGCCTTCAGGGTGAGCAGGCTGAGGCGTGGGGGAGGGGGTGGACATGTTGCCAAGGTCACAGGCTCCTCTGCAGTACTGCCCTTTCCTCACGGCCCCCTCGCTGAACGTGCTTTGTAAGTGCTGCGTCCACCTAGGAGAGAGCAGCCGCACTTGGGGTGCAGACCCCGCTGTGTCCTGGGCCTTGGGGGTGGGAAATGCCCGGGCCTGGCCTGTGCTTTCTGCCCTGGTCAGAAGGGGGCTGGATCACATTCTCCCTCGAGAGTTTGTGCCCTGGACCAGTCTGCTCCCTCCTAGTCATGACCCGGGTTCCAGCAAGATGCAACTCTTGGGTGGGGAGCTGAACACGGGCCTTGGTGTCCTCGAGACCTGGCCCTCACTCCTAGCTCTGCCCACCACCACGTCACCAGTGTGACCCCCAAGGAGTCATTTCACTGTCCTGAGCTCAATTTTCTCAACTGTAAGATGCAGTGAGTTCACTCAAGTGTTGGTTGAGCACAGGCTGGGGCTGGAGACAACTGTGGACATGTCCTGCCCAGCCAAGGGGTGAGGACTGGGAGGAGGGGCGGCCGAAGCAGGCCTTTCCCTCCAGGGTGCGGGAGGGCCGGGGCTTGATGCGTCTGCAGTGGCCGGTAGGCCAGACAGATGAGGCCCAATGGACGGAAGCTGGTCTTGCTCTCCGCCCCCCGGTGGCCCTGACTCCTGTGCCCTCGCAGGTGGCAGAGCTGAAGCAGGAGCTGAAGTTGCGGTCACTGCCCGTCTCAGGCACCAAGACAGACCTGATTGAACGCCTGCGTGCCTACCAGGAGCAGGTCACCCCTGCCAGCCCTGGAGCGCCCAAGACCCCCGCTGCCTCTCTCCTGCCCAAGGCGGGTGAGGTGGTGGTCGCCTTCCCCACTGCCCGGCTCAGCACGGGGCCCGCCCTGGTGGCAGCGGGCCTGGCCCCGGCCGAGGTGGTGGTGGCCACGGTGACCAGCAACGGTGTGGTGAAGTTCGGCAGCACGGGCTCCACGCCCCCTGTGTCTCCCACCCCCTCAGAGCGGTCGCTGCTCAGCACAGGCGACGAGAACTCCACACCGGGGGACAGCTTTGGCGAGATGGTGACGTCCCCGGTGACCCAGCTCACCCTGCAGGCCTCGCCGCTGCAGGTTCTCGTGAAGGAGGAGGGCCCCCGCCCCGGGACCTGCTGCCGGAGCCCAGGGGGGCGGACCGAGCTGGAGGGCCGGGACAAGGACCAGATGCTGCAGGAGAAGGACAAGCAGATTTGGGGCCCGAGCCTGAGCCGGCCCCGGCCCTGGTCACTCTGGGCCCCTCAGTGAAGCAGGAAAACAGCTTTACCAGCTGTCAGCTGAGCCGGCCGCCCCCAGGCCCCGAGCTCCCCTTCAGTCCCGGCCTTGCAGCCCCGGCCGCCCCCCACACAGACGCGTGTGCCCTGGCGCCCCCGGTCGTGGTGGTGAAGCAGGAAGCCGTGCCGCCTGAGCCCGAGCCGGCCCCGGCACCCCAGCTGCTGCTGGGCCCACCGGGCCCCAGCCTCGTCAAGGGGGTCACACCGCCCCCCCTCCTCACTGACTCCGCAGGGACCCATCTTGTCCTCACCGTGACCAAGAAGAGCACAGACAGCCCTGGCCGGGCCGGCGGGAGCCCCCAGCAGGTACCTGGGGCAGGGGGGCAAGAGGGCGTTCAGTGACAGCACCCCGTCCACGGGCGCCCCGGGGGTGGCAGGTTGCGCTCTCGTCCTTGGATCGCCCCCTTTGGCCCTCCCAAAGGAGGGCTCCCTACCCGAGGTCACCCGTGCAGGGCCGAGACTTGGGGAGGTTGGCGTCCCTGTGTGAGACCCCCAGCCTTGCAGGTGGAGCTGTGAGGGCCCGCCCCCCTCTCTGCCCTGAGTATCAGAGCTTGTCTCTGTCTGGCGGGGCACTCTGGAGCAGCCCCATCAGGCGGGCCACTCCTGCCCCTGCTGCTAGGGTGGGGTGCGCCCGGGAATGGGGGGGCCGGGCCGGGGCCTGACGGGAGCCCCGCCCCTCCCCCCCTCAGAGAGGTCAGCCGTCCCCCACCAAGGTGACGCTGGCAGCTGGCTCCCTGCTGCTGCCGCCCTCACAGCCCAGACCCCCCACTCAGCCTGGTCCAAAGGTGAGCCTGCTTTAGGCTTTGTGTGGCCTCAGCCCTGTAGGGCTTGGGGGTGGGGGCGGTGACAGGACCCGGGGACTCGGGAAGGGACCTGGGCCCTGAGCAGGAGCTCCGGGGAGGGGAGGGCCAGTCAGCTCAGAGCCCCCCGCCTGTGCCCCGGGACCCACTTGTCCTCGGCAGGGTCAGAGGTCAGGGCCGCCCCCGTGCTGTATGGTTTCTTCCCCGGGGGTGTCCACGAAGCTCCCCGAGAGCGCGTGCAGCTGCACCGCTGGCCTGGGCGGAGGTGGACGCTCCCGCCTCGCCTGCCTGGCGCAGGCCCCGGGCTGCAGCCCTCAGCCGGCCGTGGTTCTCTGTTCTCCTTCAGCCCCTGTCCCAGCCTGAGTCTCCGGCTCCCGGCCCCCCAGCCCACATGGACCTGGAGCCCCCACCCCAGCCCCTTTTTGGGACCCCCGCTTCTCAGCCGAAGAAGGAGCCGCCTGGCTATGAGGAAGCCCTGAGCCAGCAGCCCAGGCCACAGGTAAAGAGGGTGACCAGGGGCTCACGGGGTGGGTGGCCACAGTCCCCAGGTCTCGTGGCGGGAGGGGCTGGCCAGAGCCAGCCTTCTGGGTCAGAGAGGCCTTGGAGAGGGGGTGTCGGGGCAGGAGAGGGGGTGTCAGGGCGGGAGAGAGGGTGCGCTGTGGGAGCCTGGGTGCAGCCCACTGGGGCCTGAATGCTGGCTCAGAGCCGGGAGGGTCTGTGCCCTGAGCCAGGCTGGGGCCTCCTGTTGCAGGTCATCTTTTTCTGGTCTTGCCCCACAGGAAAATGGTTCCTCAAGCCAGCAGATGGATGATCTGTTTGACATTCTGATTCAGAGTGGAGGTAAAGTCCAGGCCCCACGCTGCCTCCCCCCGCCCTCCTGTCTGCCCCAGTGTCTCTAGCCTGGGCTTGGTTGATTGGGTTTGGTTTGGTTCTTGACACAATGCCTGGCGGGCCTGGTGAGTACTTAGGAGGCGGCAGCGGGTAAGACGCATCCCAGAAGCTGGCGGGGCCCCTGTGGGGGTGCGTCTTCAGCTCACGTTTGTTTCATCCTGAGCCGCTGCGCTGCGTGCCCTGCGCTGTGCCCACAGCCCAGGGTGAGGCAGTGAGCGAGAGAGACGCCCACCTCTGCGGGCCTTGCAGCCTATCGTGGGGAGGTGATGGAGGAGTAAAATAAACTGTCTTACATCGGAGCATCAAAAAAAGCAGGGGAGGCAAGGGTCCCAGGTGCGAGGGGGGGTCGGGGTCAGGGTCAGGGTTGCTGGGCAGCTGCTGCAGGGCGGAGTGGAGTGGGTGCGGGTGCGGGTGTGGGTGGCCGGAGGCCTGGGGGTCGCCGGACTGAGACACGCGGACCCTGGGCGACGCTGGGAGCCATAGCACAGCTTCGCGTGAAGGGCGGCTTCTCTGGAAGGGCAGATGGGGAGGTAGGGTGATCCAGGAGAGCGGGGTGTGAGGGGGGCCACAAGAGGGCTGAGTCCAGGAGTGTCTGCCGAGCGCCAGTTGTTTCCTGTGGCTTAGTTAGGTGTGTGGCCAGGGGACATGGCGGCCGGGGGCGTGGTGTTAGCAGCAGCGTGAGCGCCCGGGTGCATGGGTGCCTCAGTCACTAGACTGAACGGAGGGGTCACAAGGCCAGGCCGGGGGAGGCCTGGGCTGAAGGCAGGAGTCGGGTTGCTGGTGTCCCAACGGCACTTGGAGCGGTGAGGCTGGGTGTGCAGAGGAGGAAGTGGTGGTGGGGCGGGCGGGCTCGGGCTGCTGAGGCTGACCAGGGGGTGGAGGGGGAGCGGCACCCTTGAGAGGATCAAGGCCCAGGGCTGCTGAGGGCCGCTTAGGAAAGGTGAGGACCGAGACCTGGCCCCAGCTGTATCGTGGTGACCTCAGCCCAGACAGCGGGACGGTGGCCAGAGCCTGCTTGAAGCCGGTTGGAGAGGCTGGGGTTGTGGGAGGCAGCGAGTCTAGACCGCTCTCTGCAGGGGGTCCCCCGCAAAGGGGTGGGTGTGGAAAGGTGGCACCTTTGCTTGCTGGTGGGATGAGCTGGTGGTCCAGCGGTGAAGAAGACCCCAAGGGTGTGTCTGCGTGGGCAGAGAACAGGCAGCTTCTCTCCTGAGGGATTTAATTACGTTAGTAGGGAGAGCAAGAGCTCACGAGCTTGGACACTTTAAAGTGTAAAGTGGTGGATTTTACCTCAATTACGAAAAAATCGAGGTCACTGGTTTTGACCTCGGGGAGACTCCCCAGCTTGCAGGATCTGCACTGGGGCCCTGGGGTGCGTTTGTAATAAAGGCGGGTAGCGCTGAGGCTGGGAGGGCAGGGCTGCCAGAAGAGGGGCTGTGGGAAGCCTAGAGGAAGAGATGGCAGGGGAGGAAGCTGGGGCTGTTTGCCCCCAGGGGCTCAGAGCGAGGTGGAGGGCGTCAGCAGGTGGGGGGGCTGCAGTGCGCGCAGGCGAGCTGAGGGAGGCGGGGAGCAGGGCTGGGCATCTGGCACTCGGCTGGGACAGGACCTAGAGAGGGCCAGGGAGCAAGCCTGGTTTCTGCATGATTTTTTTTTTTTATTGTGGTAAAATAGATGTAACATGGTTTCCCATCATAATCATCTTTGAAAAGTGCAAACTCAGCAGCATTAAGTTCATTTAGATTGTTGTGCAGCCATCACTGCTACCTGTTTCTAGAACGCTTGCATCGTCCCATGCTGACACCGTCACCTTCACACACTAACTCCCGGTCCCCACCCCACCTCTTCTTCCTGTCTTTATGAACTGACTTTTGTAAACGTGTGTGAGTGCAGCCATACACTCTTTCTCCTTTTGTTTCTGGTTGGCTTCACTTAGCATAATATCCTCAAGGTTCTTCCACGTTGTAGCTTTTACCAGCATTTCTTTTGGGCTGAATAGTGTTCCATTGTGTCAGTACCAGTGTGTTTATCCCTTCATCCACGGGACATGTGGGTCATTTTCTTATCCCTTCATCCACTTTTGGCTGTTCCTACCTTTTGGCTGTTGTGAACAACGCTGTCATGAGCACTGGTATCTGAGTCTGTGTTTTCGTTCTTTGGGGTATGTACCTAGAAGTGGAACTGCCGGATCATAATCATTGTGTTTCACGTTTTGAGGAACTGCAGGACTGTTTTCCACACAGCTGCACTGTTTTCATTCATATCAGCCATGCACGAGGGTTCCAGGTGGTCCACATCCTTACCAACACTTATTTTCAAATTTTTGTCTTTCCCTGATGACTAGTAGTGTTGAGCATCTTTTCATGTGCTTACAGGCTGCCTGTGTATATTCTTCTGGAGAAATATCTTGAGTTCTTTGTTCATTTTCCAGTTGGGTTTTGTTGAGTTCTAGGAGTTATTCTTGATATCAATCACTTACCCAGATACATGGTTTGCAAATATTTTCTCCCATTCCATGGCTTGTCTTTTAACTTTTTTCAAGTATAGTTGCTGTATGGTCTTTTCACTCTTGATAGTGATCTTTGACATATGAAGTTTTAAATTTTTATATAGGCCAGTTTTTCTTTGCCTATGCCTTTGGTGTTAGGACCAAGAAATCACTACTGACTTCAGTGTCATGAAGACGTTCCCTTTCCTTTTCTTTTCTTTCATAGTGTTGGCTCCTAAATCTAGATCTTTGACCCATTTTGAGTTAATATTTGTACGTGCTGTAAGGGGAAGCTCTAGTTGCAGGTCACACTCAGGCTGGCTTCTGACGCCCCTTTGCTTTCTTGATTGGCAGAGATCTCAGCGGATTTCAAGGAGCCAGGGAAAGAGAAGGCGCCCCCGACAGCAGCCTGTGGCTCGCCCCTGGCCGCCCAGCCCTCACCTGCAGCCGAGCTCCCTCAGGCTGCCCCACCGCCGTCGGGCTCGCCGGCCCTGCCCGGGCGCCTGGAGGACTTCCTGGAGAGCAGCACAGGGCTGCCCCTGCTGACTGGCGGGCACGAGGGGCCGGAGCCCCTCTCCCTCATTGACGACCTCCACAGCCAGATGCTGAGCAGCTCCGCCATCCTGGACCACCCCCCATCCCCCATGGACACCTCGGAATTGCACTTTGCGCCTGAGCCCAGCGGCGTGGGCCTGGACTTGGCCGACGGGCACCTGGACAGCATGGACTGGCTGGAGCTGTCATCAGGCGGGCCAGTGCTCGGCCTGGCCCCGCTCAGCACCACGGCCCCCAGCCTCTTCTCCACGGACTTCCTCGACGGCCATGACTTGCAGCTGCACTGGGACTCCTGCTTGTAGCTCCGGAGGGTGGGAGGGCTAGAGGCCCCAAGAACTCCAGGGTGCCGGCACTTTCCAGCCCCATCCCGCCCCTTTGTGAGGCCGGAAGTCCTGACAATCACAGGCTCTGCCCCGTGGAGGCCAGAGCAGGCATTCCCACGCCTGCCTCGGGCTCACCCAGGAGGCGGTGCCGGGTCCCACCCTGGGCTTGGGGAGACCTGCACGGGCCAGGCTTCTATTTGACCTCCTTCTGTGAGGTCGGGGTGCACTTGCCGGCTGCAGTCTGCTCAGGAGGCGAGGCCCGGGGCTGAGGCAGAGCCAGGGCCAGCGTGTCCTCCTCTCTCCCCTTCCCCGAGGGAGGGACGGGCTGGGCCTCTACCTCACCATCCTCGCGACGCCAACACCAGGGTCCCAGGCTTCCCCGGGGGGGCTCCCTGCATCTTAGTGTCTTGGTGCAGTGCAGCCATGTAGTGGTTGGTGGCAAACATTTTCTGTACAGGTGTACATACCTCTATTCTATATCGCCATACATATATACACATATATCTCCGGGGGGGGGGTGGAGTGGATATGGCCACCCCCGCCTTCTGCACACAGAAGGGCCTGAAGACCACCGCTCCCAGGGCTGGACACGGCTTACCGCGGTCCCGCCCATCACTTGTGTTTGACGTGTAGCCACCTCTCCACAGCCTGTGCCCCACCCTCCTGCTTCCTGCTCCTTATCAGTGCCACGAGGGCGGGGTGCTTCCTGCCCACATTCCGTCTGCTGCCTCACTGCAGCCGCCACGGCCCGGGGACAGCGGGGGAGCCCTCAGGCTCTGGCTGCTAACTCCTGCCCGTCACGGTCATCACAGGGGACGAGGGGTGGAGTCACCAAAACCAGAGGTGGGACAGCTGTGTGAACTTTTTAAAATAAAAACAAACACCTCTTGCTGGTCCATCTTGTTCAATCCACCTTAGATGAGACGTGGGTGGTAGGGCTGAGTCCTGGGTGTCCACACCGTGACCATTTCCCAGCCCTAGCTGGATGGGAGGCGGGGAGGTGCTTTCTCAAAGACAAGAGTTTATTGATAAATCAAGGAGGCCCAGGAGCCTTCAGCCACCCCCACCCTCTTCCTGAGCAAAATGTGACCGCACGGAGCTGGTGCCCACCTCCTCCCGAGGTCCTTGGTTGGCACGTGGAGCTGGGCCAGAGCCTCTGTGAAGACACTTGCAGGACAAGGCCCTCCCCCCGTCCTGGGGGGCTCGGCAAAGCTGGGCACCTCCTCCTGTTCCTGCCACCCTCTGCACCCCCACCACGGTGCCCAGAGCTCTGGAGTGTGTCCTCCCCTTGAGCCTGCAGCTTCGGGCTGGCCTGGGCTGGGCCATTCTCTCCTTGCTGGGCAGGGGGGCACCTGGGTGAGACAGGGCCCCTGGAGAAGCACGTCACCCGTCGATGTCCCAGCTGAAGAGGTGGTGCTTCACCAGCATGTCCTGGACGCCCTCCTTCAGGGGCTTCTTCTCCTCCTGCACGAGACAGCCCTCCTGTCACGGCTGCTGGGCACACGGCGAGGAAGCCAGGTGGCAGAGGCCAGGGCGGTCCTCACAGGCGGTGCCAGCACTCAGGGCCACCCGGAAATGCTTGGGGGAGGCAGCCCCTGGCACTGATGCCAGCCTGCCCCACCTGCCAGTCCCTGGGGAGGCAGGCCCACCACCCACCTCTCTCTTTGCAGGAAGCTCCCAGTCCTGGGAGAGGCTGAACGCGAAGCAGCAGAGGACCCTGGAGGGTGAAGGGGTGGGGGGGGCTGTCAGATGCTGGCAGGGGGCTCGGCCCGCCCCCCAGCTGGGGCTGCAGGAGCCCAGGGCCTCCTCACCGCAGCTCGCACTTGATCTGGACCCAGCCAGGGCTGCGCAGGAAGGACCAGGGCTGGTACCACTTCTCCACGGTCGGCAGGCTGGAGCAGAGCACCTCCAGCCACAGGTGCAGCACCTGCTCGCTGGGGGCAGGGAGGGGGGCTGCTCAGAGGCCTGCGCCCCCCGGCCCCCTCCCCTCCCCTCCTGCGGCTGAGGGTCCATCACCACTCCCCGCCGGGCACTCAGCTAGTGACCCCCCTGCTCACTGGCCAGCAGGCCCACAGTGTGCTCTGAGCTCATCTCAGGGACCCCTGCCCCCAGGTCAGCGCAGCCTGGACGCCGCCCCTCTGCCTGGTGGCAAGTCAGGAAACCCCATGCTCAGCCTGGCTCCTCAAGGCCGGCATCCCTCAGCCTGCAGCCAGGTCCCTGGTGAGCCCTGACCGCACACCTCACTGTAACCAGTGTTGCCCGAGGCCCAGCACCCCTCCCTGCCAAGCGGTGGCGTCTCACGCTGGAGGATGACCTTTGGGAGCCACCCTGGCCGCCACCCACCTCCGTCCACCCAGCTCAGCCCCATCCCCCGTGAGGGCACGCGCACACACACCCTGCTCACAGGGGCGCACACACTCACTTGAGCCCCACGCAGATAAGGGAGCGGAGCTTCACGTCCATTTGTGCATGTGCGGCATCGTGGGTCACGTTAACAGACTGCACAGCCTGGGGGGCACAGTGGTCACCCAGGTGTCCCCAGCTGCCCACCCTAGAGGCCGGTCGCCCGCGGCCCCCGCTTACCCGGTAGAGCAGCTCCTCTGGGGTCAGGACTTTGCCATCTTCATCCAACCTGAGGGGGGACCAGAGCTGCCTGCACCGCCCTGGAGGGCTCGGGCCACGCCCCGCCTCCACCCCCAGCCCCAGGCTGCCAGGCGACCCTGCAGGAGGATGCAGGCGCTGGGTTACCTGTACGTCTTGCACAGCACCAGGCGGGAGTACACGGAGTCGAAGTCTCTCTCGACCTCCCGGCCCGCTGCCTGGGGGGTGAGGTGAGTGTCAGGGACCAGAGGGCGGATATCAGGTCAGAGCCACAGAGTCCGGCTGAGCGGGTCACCTCCCCACCAGCTCCACAGGGTCCGGACACTCACCTCCTCGATAAACAGCCAGGGGTGGCAGGCGCCCCCGAGCAGCGAAGGCTTCTTCAGTCCGTGTTCAAACAGGGCCTTGAGGGCCGGGCAGAGGGTCCCTCTCACGAGGTCTGTGACTCCCTCCGTCACAGCGTCGTCCCCCGCGATGGAGTACTGAGGGGGAGGATGGGGTCTGAAGCCCCAGCCAGCCCCTCCCCATCCTCACGAGCGCTCCACACCCCGGGGGACACAGCCCAGGGCCAGGAGGGCGCCAGCCTAGGGGCAGAAGGGGCGCGGCCCCCACGGACCGGCCCACCTCGCGTGTGCACTCACCTCCTTGCTCCGCTCATCCAGGACTTCCACAAACTTGGCTGGAAACCAGCCTGTGGGAGAAGCAGAGCCCGTGAGGCATTCAGCTCTGCGTCCTGAGGCGCCACCCGCCACAGGGCTAAGGACACAGGGCGACAGACACGCCGAGCAAACCCTGCGCCACTGCAGCTTCACGGCCTGGCCCGCCCTCCCCCGGCCCGGCGAGACACAGACCAGACGGAGGCCTCACCTCTCAGGCCGTTCAGCTCCCCCACCCAGCAGTGCTCGTCCTTCTGGGAGACGATCTGCCAAAGAAAAGCGTGGGAAGCTCGCTCCAGCGGCCGGCGAGGGCGTGGCCACCCCACCCGCTGCCAAGGGAAGGCACCGCTCCCCACGCACCGTGATGATGTCGTTCTTGCGGAAGCCCAGCTCGTCGTCGTCATGGCGCTCGAAGTCCAGCAGGGCCTTGGCCCGGCGCGGGTGGCCGCGTGAGCAGGCCACGTAGTTCTCGTGGTCCCTCTGGTGGCTCTCCATGCTGTAGTCCGGGGTCAGCTCCTGCCGGGGCGGTGGGAGGGCCACTGCTCGGGACAGGGCTAGGGGAGTGGGGCCCCGGCCACGCCCCGTGCCCAGGGCGGGGCCCCGAGACTCACCACGTTGCAGTTCTTGGGGTCTGTGCACTGGAAGTGGCGGGCCACACGCAGGATGGCTTCCCGAAGGTCGGCCACCAGCTCCGTCTGCTTGATGTTCTTGGCCTTCATTGCCTCGAGGTCATCCTCCCCTGCAAGGTCCAGAGACCAATGGCAGCCGTGGCCACGCCCCACCCCAACTCCAAGGAAGCACAGAGTCCACGTGGGGTGTGAGTCTGATCGCCCCCATCGCCCCACTTTCAGAGCCCAGCCTAGCGCCTGGCCGCCTGCACAGAGCTCTCACCAAAGAGCAGCGATGTGATGCCGGACTTCCTCCGCTGGGTCCTGCGGCGGACCACCTGTGGGCATGAAGTCAGGTCAGCGGGGCCCGGGCAGCTGGCACCCAGACCACCTGTGGGCATGAAGTCAGGTCAGCGGGGCCCGGGCAGCTGGCACCCAGACCACCTGTGGGCATGAAGTCAGGGCAGTGGGGCCCGGGCATCTGGCACCCAGACCACCTGTGGGCATGAAGTCAGGGCAGTGGGGCCCGGGCATCTGGCACCCAGACCACCTGTGGGCATGAAGTCAGGTCAGCGGGGCCGGGCACCCAGCCAAGCAGGGGGCGCCCCACCACAGGGGGGCAGCGAGCAGAGCCGTCCTGCATGAGGCCCGGCCGGCATCTCACTCGTGCTGCCTTCTCTGACGTGGCCTCTGAGGCCAGCTCTGAGGGTCGTTTCAAGCCTGGGTCTATCCTATGCCCAAACAGGGTAGCGCTTGGCAGGGACGTGCCAAGGCCAAAGCAGTGGTCCCGCCAGGCTGGGCCCTGGGAGCTGAGCCGAGGGGCGGAGGTGAGCGCGGCCTCCTTCCTCCTGTGCCCACCTGAGAGAGGCTGGCGGTGGCATTGGCACCCAGGAGCTGGCCCTGGTCGGCCAGGAGGTAGGCCAGGTGCTTGCGGCGCTGGGTCTCCACGGCCACGGCGGTGAGCGAGCCTGCCAGCCGCATGGCCTCCGCCAACAGCAGGTCTGCGTCCTCCAGCTGTGACGGGATGTCCGACAGCGTGTTGAAGATGGAGGCCGAGTTCTCCGACTGGATCAGCTCGTCCTCCTGGGCCGGGTGAAGGGTGGGCGTCACCGCCTGGCAGACCCCAGCCACTGGGGTGACTTCCCTGGACGGTCAAGCTGAGCACAAGGAGGCCCTGCCCCTGAGAGACACCCGCCTCCCCCCCAGATGGGCCAGTGCTCAGGCTGCAGGAGGCCGCGGAGGGCGGGCCCCGCAGGGCTGCTGGGGAGCCGCCTCTGACGCCGGGGCTGGGCCGTTACCTTGAGGCGCAGCATGCCCAGCGTGGCCTGGAACAGCACCAGAGAGCCCTCGTAGAAAAACAGGTCCCAGAGGCGCAGCAGCAGGCGGATGTGCACCACACTGGCGAAGGCCGTGAGGAACCAGTGCAGCGTGATGAGCGACAGCTCTGCAGACACACGCAGGGGCCCTGAGGCGGGGCCGGGGCAGTGGGCGCGGGACCGCCAGAGAGGAGGGCATTCCCCAGGCCCGTGAGCCATGGAGGAGGCGGGGGCGTCAGAGAGCAAGAGAGCAGCGCCGGTGGGCATGCCCCCTCCTCCCTCCTGAGCTGCCAGGCCCGTCCACGGCCACGTCCCAGGCCTCAGACCCGCAGCACCTAAGCCCGAGCTGGGACCCCAGGACCCAGAGCAGAGGCAGGTCGGGCCCTCACCAATGTCGTGCTCCTGGAGCAGCCTGTCCAGGCGAGGCAGGTACTGGACGATGAGGTGCCGCAGGACGCGCTGGTCCGTCTGCACGCCCAGCAGGGTGGTGCTGAAGTAGGAGGCGGGGAGCAGGTCCTCGACGATGGCGCACATCATCCAGAAGGCGTCGTCCTCCTCCAGGAAGAGCAGGAGGCAGGCAGCCACCTGGCAGGGCAGGGGCACGAGGGGCATCTACCCAGGTCTCCATGCCCTCGGGGCCCATGAGAGTGAGGCGGCCCCTGTGGGGGTCACACACAGACCACGGGCCCGCCTCCGGCACCTGGCGGCCCTCTCACTCCCCCGGGTGCCCCCGCCACCCGCCCCGACCATGAGATGGGTCACTCTGGGCTGTGCTCACCATGCCCGTGCCCTGGCAGTAGCCGATCTCCGGGTAGAGCCAGGCCAGCGCCCGGAGCACCCTGCGCAGGCGGGGCACCCCGACGCCGCTCACGTGGGCAAAGCAGGCGTTGCTGGGCATGGTACGGAGCAGGTCCTTCTCAATCTGCCGGCAGCCCGCCCACAACAAGAGCCCGTGAGGCGCAGCTGCAGCGGCACAGCCTCCGCACCCCCGACACTGAGACCCCCGGGGAGGCGGCCAGGGACCCCTGCATGGGGCAAACCTCAGGTTGGCTTCTCTCCAGGAAGGGGGGTCCTCAGGCTCTGGGTCAAAGCTAACCCTCCTCCCCTGGGGATCAGAGCCCAGCTGGTGTGCAGCTGAGGCCACGTGGTTAACTGGGACCTTCTCAACAAAACTACAGAAGCCTGGGGCTTGAGCCAGAGCTAAGGAATGAGAATCTCTGGAAAGAAGCCTGGAAACCTGCATTTAAAGTCTCCAGGGGACCCTAATATGCACTGGGTATGGTGACCTTTCTGACTATCCCAACTCCTAGAGGAACCAAGGGAGAAGCTGGCTCCAGGCACAGGCGTAGGGGTGAAAGGACTACCCAGGGCTGCCTCCTGGCCGCCAAGCTCTCCTGGGCCACCCCCGAGGGGCCTCCCCCTACTCCCTGCCCCCCACAGGGCCTCACCTGCTTGGCGGCAATAGTCTCATCATTGGAGCTGTTCTTCACGATCTCTCGGTAGGACAGCTCGGAGTTCCTCTTCTTCTGCAGGGCCCCGGACAGCCGCATCCACAGCTGAGGAGGGGGCACGGCACTCAGTCCCCGTGGGGCCTCGATCCCCGTGGCCTCCTCGGGCCCCCGCCTCACCTGTGGCCTCATGCTGTGGGGGACCCCGGCCAGCACCAGGGAGCGGAGCTTCTCCGAGCGGGGCAGGGAGACGGCAATCTTGTCCCAGGTGAGGTCCCCCACATCATGGTTGTGGGTGAACTCCAGGTGGGCCTGCCAGCGCAGCCTCTGGGGGGGGTCCTCCAGCAGCTGGCCGGAATAGGGGGTGCCATCTGTGTCTGTGGGGAGGGGGAACAGCAACCCCGCTGCCTGTGCTCCGAGAGCAGAGGACCGGGCTCGGGGTCCACTGCCCAGATCTCACCACCAAAACCCAGGGCCCCCTTTCCAGCCCTGGCACCCTGAACAGCAAATCTGCGCTCTTCACTGTCTCCCCCAAACCAGACCCATGAGCCTGCCATCCCCGCTCCCTGGGTGTTCACCCTCCTGCCCTGAAAATCCTGTTGGCCTTGTCTTTGTGGAGGATCAATAAACAAACATCTGAACACCATCCCCGTCAGGATACAGAATACTCCCGTCATGCTAGAAAGTTCCCTGTGTTCCTCTCAGTCCCAGCTTTTGACTCACAAACACCTGCCTACGAACCAGACAACAAGGAAGACGCGTCAGAACTGGAAATGTGCGTGGCCTGCAGATGGATGGTATCAGTCAGTTATCTGCTTGGTGACAGGCCACCCTGGGTTCTGGCAGACAGCCTCCCAAGCGCCCATGTGGCGACCGACAGCAGCAAGCAGTGGGCATGGCCTGGGGTTCACTTACAGAAGACTGGTCACAAATACATGATGACCAGTCCATTACAATGGGATAGTACACAGTCACAGAAAGTAGTCTTTAAAGGATATCTTAACTGACAGACAAAATGCTCATGGAATAAAGTGAAGAGATATAAGAACAATATAAAAACATGTATTTGATACCATCTTAGTTATGAAAGGTACATAGTTATGAAAGATACTTGGTTATGAAAGATACTCACAAAGCCAGGAGAAAAATACACTGAAATGTCAGCAGTTATCTGCAGGTTGTAGGATTATGGGTTAATTTGTTTTAATCTTTATATTTTGATGTATTTTTAAAATTCTTTATAATGAACATTATTGCTTTTATTATCATTACTATCAATAAAATTAATCTTAAAAACACAAACAGGGAATTCCTAGAGGTCCAGTGGCTAGGACTTAGCACTTTCATTGCTGAGGGCCCAGGTTCAATCCCTGGTTGGGGAACTAAGATTCCACAAGCTGTGCAGAGTGACAAGAAAAGGAAAAAGGGAACCTTGCCCCCTCCAAAACCAAAAATACCCTGGAGGACTCTGTACACTATAGCATCAGCATCAGATATGGCTTTGTCCATGATTCTAGAACATTGGGGTGAAACATCCAGAACCCAAGGCCACCACAATGTCATCAGTCACAGAGCTGGTGCTCCCCAACAAGGATGGGGGCAAGGTTACCCCCGAGGGGCTCAGTCTCACCTTCCTTGTCCATGCGGAACCCGAACTCATCATAGCAGAACTCCGGCTGCTCCACGGCCTCCTCCTTCTAGAGCCGGGGGTGGGAAAGTCAGCACTACTGCACTTCTCCCAGCCTTCCCTGAAGCCTCCTGTGGTCATCTCTCAGCTACTGGGCCCCCGACCCTCTTGAATTCTCCCCGAATTTTCCTTGTTTTCCTCAGAGGTCAAAGATAATAAGGTCAAGGCAAGAAACACATTTTATACATTTTCGTGTCCCCATAATATCAAGATCGGAGGTCATACTTTTTCTCCAACCTACTGCTTGATTCACAGAGGATGTAGAGCTAAGAAGCTGTCTCTGACTTGGGAGCCCATGTGAATACAGGGGAGCGGCTCCCCTCCCAGGATACCTGCAGCAGTTGGTGGCCCCCCGGGCACCCCAGCGTGGAGCAGAGCCACTGAGCCTGCTATACCTGCGCGTACTGGGCCAGGATCTCCTGGGGCCACATGCTCGGAGTCAGGGCTGAGAAGGGGCCATTGGCAGAAGGTACGTGACTCCCTAAAAGCAGGGAAGACCAGGAATGGGAGATAAACATAATGCAGAGTATTCAGGGGGTAAATTCAAGTTGAGACACCCTCCTCCCCCACCCCCATCATTAAAGGACTGGACCATCCACAGTGGGATGGACGGGGGAGGGCAGAAAGCTAGCAACCTGCAACTTTTGGGAGAAGTTACAGGAGACCAGTGGTGTGCTACCAGACGGAACCAGACCTCCTCCCCTGGCTCTTCTTCCACCTGCGTTATAAGGACTTCAGGGTGGCGGAGGGCAGGAACTCGAGAAAACTGAGGAGACAGTGGCAGTAACTCTCCCAGAGGCCTGTCAGAAGACTTCCTCTGACCTGGATGGTCCACATGACCCTCGAAGGTCCGTGGGAAACAAGCCTGCTTCCCTCCCACCAGGGAGGTCCTCTTGGGTCCTTTTGACTCCCTTCCCCCTGGAAGGCCTGTCACCCCATTTCCAAGCCAGGCCCCTGCCTCCCACCTGACATTGTGCGAAGAGGACAGGAGAAATCTTCTGCAGATCCAGACTGGGGTTTCCTAGCCTAGTGTCTCAGAGCTGGGAAGCTCCTCAAGCGTCATCTGGTCCAGAAACATCTGCTTGGGCAGGAGTGCAAAGGGGAAAGTCATCTACCGCAGCCCCTCTGCAGGGGGTCCTTTCTACATGTAGACTCAGATATGCTGGTCCAGGGCGGTGGCAAGGTAAATGTTTGACAGGGAAGGAAAAGTCTCACTTGAAAGAAAAAGCCTAGTGTTCTCAACATTTCATCCAAGAGGAAAATACTGTGAAGAAGCTATAAAACTGTGGTTCTCAACAGCTCTGTGAGCCAAGAGGACAGGCCCCTCACTCCTAAGGATGGAGAGGATCACACAGACAGACTTCCTGACGCTCTATGCTCATGCAAATGTTCCTTAAAACAGAAAACAAAAACCAGACACCGTGGAAACTTCCGTGAATAGGTTCCTCCAAGCCAGAATTTTTGAGGAATCACTTAGAACACGTCTGACTCAATACCTCCACTCACCTGACTCCGGCGTTTCCACTTCATCCACCATACTTTTCAGCACCTCACAGCTGGAAAACTATGAAGTTGCAATCTAACTAAATCTCCTGTTATTGTTTAAACCCTTGCCTCTTTTTGTCCTCTTTAAAAAATGACTCAACATTAAAGAGAAAAATAGCCCAATTTTTAAAAACGGGCTTAAGATTTGAACAGATATTTCTCCAAAGAACAGATGTTAAGTAGCCAATAAGCATGTACAAAGATGTTCAACATCATTAGTCACCAGGAAAATGCACATCAAAACCAGAGTGAGAGTCCATGTCACATCCACGAGGACGGCTATAATCAAAAAGGCAATGATTAGTGTTGGTGAGGATGTGGCAAAACTGGAAGCCTCATATGCTGCTGGTGGGAATGTAAGATGGCGCAGCTGCTGTGGAAAGCACTCTGACGCTCCTCAAAAGGTGAAATGTAGGGCTGCCACATGACCCCAGAATTCCACTCCTAGTTATTTACCCACAAGAGATTAAAACAGGTATCCACACAGAAAACTGTACATGGTGTGTTTACAGGAAAATCACTCATTCTAGCCAAAATGCAGAAACAATCCATATGTCTAAGAACTGGTGAAGGGATATATGAAATACATAGAATATCCATACAATGGATTATTATTCAGGTGAAAAAAGGAATGAAGTGCTAATAATGCTATACCATAGCATAGGTGAATCTTAAAAACAGTTAAAGAAGCCAGTCACAAGAGGATGAATATTGATATGATTCTAGTTAAAAGAAATGCCCAGCAGAGGCAAATCCCCAGTTATAGAAAGTAGATTAGTGACTGTCAGGGGCTGGAGAAGAGGGGAAGGCAGAGTGACTGCTGATGGGTGCATCAGTGGGGTATCTATTTGTGGAGGTGAAAACTGGTCTGGAATTGGAGAGTGGTGATTAGTCACACAACAGTATGAAATATTCAAACCACTGAATCATCCACTTTAAAAGTAGTGAACTTTGTAGCATGTGATTTGTATCTCAATTTTAAAACAATAAATAATCAACCGAGGCATCAGCCCTCAGGGCTTCCTCTCACTTTCTACCCTGTTCCTTTTAGAACTAGAAAGAACCTATCATCACCTACTCGAGCCTCAACAGAAATGCAGTTTCTCAGTCTTTTTCTGAATGAAGCCTTTTACTTCTAACCATGAAATGAAAGTAAGCTAACAAAAACAGAAGATAACCATGGAGATGTGGTTGAAATCTTTTAGGACAAGTTGCCCTCTAGGTTTTGGAACCATATCCACCTAGCCCTAAACATCCTTCTGTCATTTTTCAGGTGACAGGAGCTTGGAGGTGACAGCTGTTGGCTTCATCTCCTCCCTGCTGTCTGCACAGTTTTGGGTAAACTCGAAGGGTCAGGTGAATGAGAAAGAAACAAAAAGGAAAGTCAAAGAACCACTTCGAGGGCACTGTGAGAAAACATCGGCCTGTGGACCCTTTACTCTAGCACATGTTGAAAATTAGGCCCATGAAAAAAACTTAGTTCTCTCTCAAGACACACTTGCCAATCTAGGGCCAAAACTAGTCAGCTTGTCCCAAGGGCAGTTCAGCTGGGTCACCAGCCCCTCCTCCTGCCCAGACACAACCTAACTGGGCCCCTAACTGGGCCATGTATGAGCTAAATGCCCATCATGAAGGCCCACTTGGGAGACAGCCCTCCTGCTTCCAGACAAGTCCTGCTGAGAAACAGATGGCAGAACCCACTTCCTTCATGGGCCAGCCGTCCTAGACCTGTCTGTCTGCTTTGCGAGAGGAAGATGTAATGTCTTCCTTCAAAGTAACAGGTATGTGGGGCCTGTTTTGAATCAGAATTCTGTGATGGATACAGCAAGTATTTTTACATTAAAGCTAGAAGTTCTTAAAATCATGTCAGCATTCAATCCTCACAGCATATTTTCACGCATTCCTCACACATGAGAAACAAGCTAAGAGGAGACCCACGAACAGTCTCCCAAATGGACCCTGATAACCGTGTCCCCGGCCGGCACCCGGTGAGAGGATGTCGGTCGGCCACCAGCTCAGCAGTGCTGGGGAAGAATCCCCAAGCTCGGCCATACCGCTGCTGGCCCGGAGCCCTGGGCGAGCACGCTGCTGTGGCATCAGCCTTAGGACGGCGTGGCTTTCCAGCTCATCCTCTGCCACCTTCGTGCAGGGCCAGACAGTGCTGCGGTTCAAGTGAAGACCTCTCTGGTCAGACAGATGTGGATTCACACCCCAGCTCTGTGGCTCCCCGCTTATCATAACCTTGGGCACATTTACATCACTTATTTGAATCTCAGTTTTCTCCTCCACAGACTGGATAGAATAACAGTACCAATGTCCCGAAGTGGTTATGAGGATGACGTGAGAACACAAAGAACCCTACTGCCTTGACACACAGTGAATGCTCAGGAAGCATCAGGCGATAAGCAGTCCTCCTCCTAACTTCCAGAAGGTTACTAACTGGACCCTCTACACTGAGGTTACTAAAGGCCATACAGCATCTGCTGATAACCGTCCATTACAGCCTCTAAAAACAACAACTTCCTATGGTTCAATGTAACACATGCCAGTTGAGATCATCAGAAACACTTCTCACCAACGCCTCAGAGGTAGTGACCTGGCTGTTTCCTCCAGAAGGGTGGAGGACGTGTGGAGGAAGAGGGTCCTGTCTGTGGAGGATGGAGCAGGCTGGGAAGACAGTTCTTAGCATGTAGCTCCCTTTCCCAACCTTGGCTTGCCCCTTGTTTGATCAGTCACTCAGTAGTTACTGAGAGTCGCCATGAGCCAAGCACGGCTATCAGGGCTGAGATGAAACACTGAAAAACACAAGTCCCCACAATTACATCACAACAGAGAATCAGACAACAAACACAGAAACAGCTGTTAGACGGTGCTACCTGCAGTCCTCTGAGGGTAAAGGTACAGAAGTGTCAGGAGAAACGGGCCATGTAGCTAACGTGATCAGGAAAAGTTCTCTGAGGATTAGGTGATATCCAAGCAAAGACCCAAACAAAAGGAAGTGGGAGACCAAGTCCTGTGGCTCCTGAAGGAAGGAGGATCCAGGCAGCAGGAGCAGCAGGGAGGGATGTGGCAGGTGGAAGCAGCTGCAGGGGACAGCCGGCTCAGGAGGGCCTTACAGTGCAACAGAGAACCGGATCTTATTCTCCTAAGGGTTCTGAGCAGCAGTGAACCCCAATCTGACTCAGGATTTAAAAGCTCTCTCTGGCTGCTGTGCAGAGAAGACTGCAGGGCAGGAGGTGGTGACGTGGTAGGAATGATGTTGGCTTTGCTACTGTGGGAACAGTGAGAACAGGTCAGACTCTGGGTATATTCTAAAGACTCTGCAAATTATATATATATAGGCCATTTCTCTCACCAACTGCCCCCGAGTCCTTGAGTTTCCAAAAGGAGCTGGAAGTGATATCACTAATCTGGGCAGGCAGGTTTTTCCAGCTTCCGGTTGCTATGGAAACCTTCCTGAAAGCAGCCATCTGGGAGCTGGCTGAAGCAGACAGGTCACTGGTGGCCCTGCTGTTGTCACAGGGGTACTAAGAGGCAGAAACCTTTGAGTAACAAAGAATATACTGGAAGCAGATTAAAAGACGTAAATGCAATTCTTAAAATTACCTTTTGATCCAGTAATATTCTCCTGGAAACTTATCTTAAGGAAATAACTCAATAGAAGCAAAAAAGTATGTGCATGAAAAGGTCTACTTCACCATCATCCATACAACAAAAACATGAGAACAATTTATATGTCAAACATTATGGGAATTAATAAGATCTGGGTATACTGACACTGTAAAATGTGATATAATCATTTCATATTCCAGTTACAGACTTCTGCTTCTGGCCAAGATGGAGTTATAAGGAATTGGATTTACTTTCCCAACCCGAACAACTAAAAAGCCAGAAAGATACATGAAACTATGGCTTCCAAACACTGGATGACAGGCTGCACAGGACAGTGAAGCCGGGGAGAGACAGAACAATGGAGCTGAGCCCTGTGACTGCCTGTTACCACCTGGACAGAGTCTGCAGTCAGGACTGGGCACCCAGGAGGGCTGAGAGCTAAAAGCCACCACGGCAGCCTGAATATGTAGAGCAGAGACCTGCAGAGAGAACTCCAGAAATCTGTGGGCAGCACTGTCAAATCTTCATGTGAATACTGTGTGTGTGTGTAAGCTATCCAAGACTGGGAAGAGAGCCACCTGCAAGGAATGTGAGGAATAATATCTGAAGCTCACCCTACTGAGTCATCGTGATTATACTTTCCTTTTCAGAGATTGTGGAAGGAAATTCACTTAAATTTTAAGAACTTTTCATCTATGTTCATAAAGAAGGCTTGATTGTAGTTTTCTTTCCTAGTAACACTTTTCTTGGGTTTGCTATAAGGATGTATCTGCTTTACAGAATGATTTGGGAAGGAGTCCCTCCTCCCCCATTTTAAGAAAAAGATTGTGTAGAAACTGGCATTATTTCTTCCTCAAATGTTGAAATAAAATCACCAATCAAGTCTCCGGTGCCTAGAGTTTCCTTCATGGAAAGATTTTC